TTGCTGGCTCTCATTGTCCATCCTGAAGAAGGCGTGCAGACTCAGGCTTGCAAAGTGATCCTCAGCCTGAAGATAAACAAGGAAGAGAGCAGGATCAGTAGTGGGCATACTCTGGGGTCTGAGCCCAGTGCTTACCCTCTTGAATCCACCAGACAAAGCCAGATTGCCAATGCCTCCCTTGTTGACCAGCCTTTAATTCCAACCACTGAGTCTTCCTCTGATGCTCCTCACATTGAAAGTGGTGGCAGCTTTCAGCCTCTCGTGGGCACTGATGAGACTAGTGGCGGAAGCTTTCACCCTCTCCTGGGCACCAGTGAGACTGGCCATAGTTTCTCTCCCCTTGAGAGAGCCAATCATAGCTTCCACCCCCTTCCGAATGTCAGTGTGGAGGGCAGTGACCATGTCCTGGAGGAACCCATGGGTAGTTTTCACTCTCCTCCCGTTGCTGAGTCAGAAGAAAGTGACAACAGCATTTGAATGGGGCAGTTGTACAGAGGAAAAAAGAGACTAATAAAATGGGTTGGCAAACAGAAGAAAATGCCTTTCTGTCTCTATATTAAAAAAACTACAAAAGAGACAGATATTCTTGCCTCTCCCAAATCAGAAGAGCCCTTGTCTGAAGAGTTTAAAAAAAAAAGCAGTCCCTTTTCTGTCACTGAGAGGTGAATACTGTCAGGTGCAAGCAACCTAAAACCCTCATAAATAGTCTTAAACAGAAACTTTATTATTAGTCACCTATTTTAAAGAAACTCACCAGCCTGACTGCATTTCCTTGGGAACAGGCAGACAAGGCATTGGGGATTCTGGGGGTAGGTCAGGCCTGGGCCACTTTCTGCAATGCAAAGACTCTAAACTCGCACCCTTCTTAACACTTCCCTCCAGTCTAGCTGGAGATTCCACCACAAATATTAACCATAACCTCTCTATCATGTATTGGAGCGTTGGAAACAACCTTTCAGTGATTTCACTCCGAAACGTTCCCAGGTCTTCCCTCATATGTATTTTCACAGCCTGATTAAACTCCAGCAGAAAGCAAACAAACCCACAATAAATCTAGAAATTCAGTTCCTGCTGAACCTGTTTGTAAAGCTATATGTTTTCACCAGGAATGCAAGGAGTCAGGTGGTACTTGTGTCTGAGTCAATCCAAAAGATAAACATTCTACAAGTCACATTCCCAAAGATAATTGGTTCCAGCTGTAAGTGTTTTCAGGAATTAAAAAAAAAAACCCAACACATTACTTCTGCGGATCACCTTCCATCAGAGTGGACCAGGGTTCCTTTATTCTTTGGCCAGTGACAGTTGAAACTGATTTTCCCTGATGTCTGCTTTCAGCCTTTCAAAGCTTCAGCCTTCCTTGAATGCCCTTCCCTACGAGCAGCCATTCTTTCGCCTTTTTTCCCCATTACTCCCATGGATGTCTACAGGAGAGATAATGTGGACATATGATGAGACTGGCATTTGATATAATCATGCAAATGCTGTGACTTACATCCTTGTATCATGTGATGATGTTATATGTATGATGATGCCATTCTGCCAATGTCATCATTTTACCGACCTTGGAAGGATGGAAGGCTGAATCAACCTTGAGCTGGTCACAATCAAACTCCTGGAGTGAGGAGGGCGTCAGCCTGCAGTACTGCATTCTAACCACTGCGCCACCATGGCTCTGATTCGATGTGGGATGTCATCAGCTGCTACCAACATTCCCAAAACTGGAAGGCCTTGCTTGTACTCCACCTCAGAATTCTCCAGAACAGAATAAGGCCTAGTAGGGTTTGGACCTGTTCTTTCTCTACTGATGCTACTGTTTGGTTTCTGAGTGAAGGGATTTGTAGGCTTGCTTGTCTTCTGATTTGGAGTGGATCTTTGTGTCCTCCTGAATAACTGTTTCACAAATCCCCAGATGACCCTTCCAAAAGAACAGCTGTGTACCTTTTGGTTGTAGGGAAAAGCACATATATTTTAAGATGCCACAGGGAGGTGATACATTCATGCATCATATGGGATGCTTCAGTTCATTTTTTTGAAGTCAAATCCACAACTGCTGCACACTTCTCTCTTCATCCATTTCTTTTGATACTCTCTTCCTTCTGAGTGGGCTGCCTCTTAAGTTACTTACTTGACTGTTTTGCTTAATGCATAGTAAATTCAGACACTGTGGTTCGGAAAATATTATTTAGATCTTTGCTTTATGTGTTAACCAAGTCATTGTAGCTTATTTGACAAACTATGATTTAGTGAGGTATTTCAGTCTAGCTACTGTTTATCTCTATATTACTCTTATAACCCTTTTTTATTTACGTTACTTCTAAGCATCACTGTTCCCTTTCAGGATTAACTGGGATGATGTAAAAGCCAAAATTAAGCAGCTCATAATGACCGCTAGGTTATTTCATTTGGGCTTTTACATCATCACAATTAAACATTACCCAGAGCAGCAGGTAATTTAAAATGAAATGGTTGACAGAAATAGTACAATGTGTTAGAGGTGTGTGTGTGACAAATCATGAAGAATGTCAAGGCATTCGATTGTATATTTTTTATTAACTCTCATCCAGAAGTCATTTCCAAAAGAATGGCAGCTTTCAAATGATTCAAACTAGGACATATTGCAGTAGATATATAGGGAGAGAGGCAGGCAGACAGGTGGGCGGGCAGGCAGATAGGACGGACAGCAAATACTGGTTTGTGATCAATGTAACATCATTTAATTAAGTCCTGCATGTTTCAAATGGCAGTGCTTTGGAGATCCTGTCTGGTCTTGGAAGCTAAACACAGTTGCTACTCTTGTAGGTCATACTAAGACTGCCAATTAGACTGGGAATTTGAACAAAATATCCCAAAGAAGGCAATAGGAACCCTATTCATGTTGCTACAAAGAAACCTATATAGAGCTGTCCATGAAATGACAGGAGGCCAGCTTGGTTGGAAGAGCTTTTACTGATACTTTTGAACTGTGACATGGCCCTGGACATTCCAGTCATGATGTTTCTTGTGTGTTTTTGACCCAATCACTTGTTATCCCTCATTCTAGCTCACTTTAATTGCTCTTGTGAAAATTTGGAAGCCCCTTAGAGAGAAGGTTAATTATTAGAACTCACTACATTGCTAGACTATCAGAATAGAGTGGGAATCACTGCCTTAATAATTAAAAAAAAAATCATTTCCTAATTATCATATGCCTTCTTCCTCTGCTCATTGGGTGCTGTTGTTGACTATTTTCTGCTCACTTCCTGATCTGCAATTTCATGTGAGTTTGAAAACTACTTCTATCTCCCACACTCCGATTTTGTGAAAGATAAATTCCCATCTTAGTCTTATTCGTTCTAGAAATGTAGTACTGAGGAGCAAGATATACATCATTAAAAGAGAATGAACATGCTTAGCAGTAATAGGTTTTGAAGATGTATCTTCACACCTGTTGATTCAGATACTTTGTCAGGATATTGTTTCAGCTTCCCAGTCTAGGCTAGAGCCATGGCATTTTTACCTAATGATTTTTCCTCCATCCTACATTTGGTTCCAAGTCCAAGTAAGGTGAGCCAGATATTATTACTTGCTAATACAATACCAAATATACAAAAAAAAAAAAAATCTATGGCAAGGCCTTGTTTTGACTAGAGTAGATGAGAAAAATGTTTGAACTTAACTGAAATCTAGATAAACAAAAGGCATGCTTATTGGAGCAGTATGTAAAAGCATAGGAATTTGTTTTGCAATGAAAGTAATAATAGCTATGTGGCTACTTAAAGGAGCCAGGGTAAATCTATCCACCATACTTCTTTCTTTCTTTTTTTCACTGCTGATTTTATTTCATGGGTCCTTGCAAATGCCAAAGTCAGAATTGACAACGCTTCCCACAATGGTCCAATCGGTATCACAGATTAAGCCCGTCTCACAAGGGCACTTGTAATAAACTGCATATAGACTCTGCAAGAAACACAAAGATATAGAAGATCATTATCTCCAGACTTACAGGATCCATTCATGCAATTAATATACATTTTTCTATGATTCATATCAGTCTCTCCCTTGTCTTGGACACTTTTCCCAAGGTGCAGAAAACAGAGATATTAGCCTGGGATATAGACCAACATTAAGCTATGAATCCCCTGGATTTCTGGTTTGCCATCGTGGCCGCCGCAGCCTCTGGAAGGCAAGCTCCGTCTTCCGCATTCGATTTCGCACCACTGGGGGACCCTGGAAAGGGTCAAAAGTCACCCTGTAGGGGTTACAAGCAAGGAGGGGATCCCCGCTTGATCGCAGGAGGGCGGTAGCCCTTCCGCTTGATCTGGGGCAGCCCTCCAAACCGGCGGACGAAAGATCAACCATAGAAATATGGCCTGTCACTAGGCTGCAGACAGCCGAAGTCAAACTTACCACCAGGCACTTCTAAAGCAGCGCGGATGAGACTGGGTGAGATCTGAACCTCTCTTCAATCCTACCTATCTTTTCTACCTGTATAAGCTGCCCAAAGTATTTTCCCCCCTGTGGAGAGAGGGAAGGAAAATCCTATCCCACCCTCTGAGAGCAGCGGCGACTGACTATCCAGGGGAGTTTAAAATGTTACAAGAATAACCTTATTTTAACTGGATTTACATGTTTCTAAAATTTGGGGACCAAAAGATTTCTTATCCCTACTGAAGATTTGGGTTTTTACCTACAAAAAAAAGGTAAAACTGGAAAAAGAATTATAAAAATTTTGGACTTAAAAAACCTTAAACGGCATTGGTGACATCTTGTGACTAAATCTTGTGGTTACAACCTGTTATTGTCTAAAAGAGAGAATTTAATGGACCAACAAACACAGTTAACCCACAAAAGGGACTGATAACACTAAAATTGGAAAAGACTTTCTAAATAAATAAGAAGAAATCTGAGCAGTAAGAAGAACAGACTGAAGGGAAGATAAACATTCCAGGACAACTACGGGGAGATGGAATAATAGAGAGATGATTTGTCAGTCCTTCAAAAAGAATGGCAATTGGATGGTCTCTTTTATTTCAAATAATATATACAATAACAGAGGGAGATCTATTTGATGATTTAAAAGTACGCACATGGAAGGCGAGTTGACAAAGAAAGAAAGCTAGAATAAGGCTGAAGAAAATTGGGGTTTGGATTTATTAGTGAGGATGTTATGTTATTAATTAAAATAAAATATACTCAAACAGACAAGATGTGTACTTTGAATACTTCTAATGGATCTTGATTATGATCTAATGGATCTTGGATCTTGACTCCTCTTTGAAGGACTCTCAATCTTGTTAATTGGTTACCTTGTTGGACGGAGACCTTCGTCACTTACGAGGTTGTGACCTTCAAAAATTCTTCTCTGACCTGTCGCCTGAAGGCCACCTCTAACGACGCCCCTTACCGTCGAAAAAAATCGACGGTGCCTGGGGTTGCGTCAAAGCCTGAAGAAACAGCAGTCATTAGCTGTTTCTCGGCTTGGAACCTCGTCCCTTGGGCGAAGAGGGAGGGGTGATCTTGCCCAGATAGAGATGGAGCTCCCTTTCTCCTCCGTTCTTTTGTTTGGAGGAGGGGGTGAAAGCTCTCTCGCAGTCTGGGCTTTTTCTCCGCACCCCATGGTGCCTTTGCTCCTTCTTTTTAGGGACAAAGCCAGACGCAGCCTTCACATCTGCTATTTAAAGAATTTGAACTGTGAGTAAGAGTGCAAGCAGACAGAACTGACCAGGAGGACTGGATTTGAGTGATTTAAGACCTTAACTCAGAAAATATTATAACATCTTCCTTATCTTGTATAAAGTTAAAGTGAGAAGAAAATGGCTGCGGATTTGCTGTCCTTTTGTTTTTGCTGCTAAGAAAACTTTCACTCTTCTTCCTGTTATTGAATGGATAGAGATACATTGTAACGTTGTTGGTGGGTTTTTTTTAGCCCACTGAAAGCTCAAGTTTTCCTTTTTTCTTCTACATAATTTGTATTTATTGTTTTGTGAGTAAATTATACTCAGAAGAAGTTTTGAAAATGCCCTTAAAATACGCTGGAATCTCTGCTTTTTCTAAAGTTGTGATTTTATCTCCAGTTATGTGGATTCTACAACAGTCTAAATCTAAAATGCTTTTACCTTTGTTCCCTTCCTCAATCATACTGAAAGATGGATTATATGAAAACATCGCATCTGCTTTTCAAGGTTTTACAGTTCATGCAAACTGTATAGAGGGAAGGGCGAATGAACTATCTGAAAATGCTGAAGGGAAGGAGGACAGACTTGTAAAAGTTGAAGAAGCTGTGGAAATATTTGCTTTGAGAGGAGGATTGAAAGATGAGCAGGAAAACTGAGAGAGGAAACTGTGATAGATCTGGTTGTGGTTCTGGTGTGCGACCGTGAAGAAATTTTGAGAAAAAAAAGTTTATAGAGTTAATTTAGGGGTCGCACGTCAGAGAAATATACCAAGAGATGTTGCTGTTTTACTTACCGGCTTTGAAGGTTGATTTGTTATCAATAAAGCGATTTCAAAGAATGGAAGAAATGCACCAGTTTGTTGAATTACTTGGAGCCGATGGGAGGTGTGAGATTGAAGAGATCCGGAAGGACAGATTTATAAGGACTGTTTTGGAAGTTTTATGTTTCTAGAACTTTTGATTTGGTATACTAATGGTTTGAATTTGTTTTAAAAAAAGAAAGAGAATATTTTATTAAATAATACAATATAATAATGAGGTGATAAGTTTGTAAGAAATTTATACTGTTTTAAAGGATTGAAAGTAGTTGATTAATGGAGGTTTTTTATAAGCAATAACCTATTTTGAATGACTGAAGTAGAGCTCATATAAGGAGAATTTATAAAATTAGTTAAAGATTGTATGTTTAAATGGGTTTAAAATATTGGAGAAATGATATTATTGGATATAAGGGATATAATTTGTAAATTGTAGTTGACTTATTATTAATAATGTGATTTAAATGAATGGAAATTATTATTTGAAGAAATTTATACTATTTTAAAGGATTGAAAGTATTTGAGATTAAAGATTGAAATAGAGTTTATATAAGAAGAATTTATAGAATTAAAGATTGTATGATTAAATGGGCTCAAAACATTTGAGAATATTATTAGATATTTAGGAAATAATTTGTGAATTATTATTATACTTAAGATTTGAATTAAGAAATGAATAATAGCAGTAAGATTACTGGTTGTTTTTTATTTTAAAGAAATGGTAAAGATTTTTGTATATTTGAAGGTTTAACTTTAAGTTTGGGGAAGATGGATAGATTATTTTTAGAAAGATTATGAAAGTGGTTTTTTTTTTAATATATATATATAACATTTAGAGTTAAAGTATGCCTATATTTGATTGTTTTCATTTGAGTTAAAGTATGCTTATTTTTGATTGCTTTATATGTGGGTAGTTATATTTAGACTGGGGATGATGTTTGTTTAACCCTGTAATCAGTTCTGGGAAGTCTGGGGGGGAATTGGGGGGGGGGAGTGGGAGGAAGGGTAGAAATAAAATAATTAGGAGTATTGATGTATGTTTAGAAGCAGAATTGTGTATTAAATTAGGAGTATTGATGTATGATTAAGGTATGTTTATATTTGTATTTGTATGGGGGGGTTATTTTAAAATTAATAAAACTTTTCATTAAACAAAAAAAAAAAGAAGAGACTGGACAGCCATCTGTCCGAAATGGTGTAGGGTTTCCTGTCTGAGCAGGGGGTTGGACTCGATGACCTCCAAGGTCCCTTCCAACTTTATTATTATTATTATTATTATTATTATTATTATTATTATTATTATTATTATTATTATTATTATTATTATTATTATTATTTGAGATAAAGAACTGTGATCATTTAAAACTTGGAAGTATAAATATCAAAAGTTAAATTTGAATATTGATGGGAAATTAAAAATTGGGGAAAACAAATAAATAGGATATTGATTGTCTATAAAGATAAAATGTAAAAATAATTAAGATATATATAAACTAAAAAATTCTGATAAATGTAATAAACATTTCTTTACGTAGTTGATAAAATAAGAATTGTATTAATTTAAATATGAGATAGTAGATATGAAGAGAAAAAGAGAGGAAGTATTTGATGTTGAAATAAGGGAAAGTTTGGTGATTAAATTTAAGACATTTGGAAATTAGGAGAAAATAAGAATGTTATACTGTATTATCAGTTAGATGATGTAAGATGGTGAGAAATAGAATATATTGAAATAGATAGGACATGTATTTTGAACATTAGATTTTGTGATGAATTGTGGTAAAGGAAACGTTGGTTATCTAAAAGTTGGAAATTATAAATATTAAATGTTAAATTTAAATATTCATGGGAAACTAAAAATTGGGAAAAACTAATTATAGGATATTGATTGTCTATAAAGATTGACTGTTAAAGCAATTAGGATATATATAAGCTAAAAACTATTGATAAATGTAACAATGTTATTTTTTACTTAATTGATATAATAAGAATTGTATTAGCTTAAACATGAGACAGTAAATGCTAAGGAAAAAAGAAAAGAAATATTTAATGTGGTAGTTTGAGATTTGTACTGAACACACTTGTGTGTTATTGAATTATTGATTAACCCAGCCACCACGTTGCTTTTTAAATACTTAAATGTAAAACTAGAAACTCGATAAAACTTAAAAAAAAAGCTATGAATCCCCTAACATATGTTTCTCCATACAAATGTTTTTCACTTTTAAACTATTCATTTTCGTACAATTATGATACCAATGGCTTAATATATGATTTTTATTTCACAGTGTTTGTTTTACGCAAGAATGGCATATCACTGTTGCTTTAAAGTTGTCCTCTGTGCTGCTAGCTGAAAACAGCTGTCATGCTGAACAGAATATATCTCTCTGATCCTCTCACGATGGGCATCTAATTTTTTTTTTAAAAATGGACACTCACCTTTAGGGAACATTCTTGATTTTCAGCTGCCTTGTCTGCACAGCGAGCCAAACTTAATCCGGTTTTTCGGTGACAGCAGCGGCTTTTGCACTGTATGCTCTGAAGACATAGCTCCCCATTGTCCTAGAGGAAGACAAAGATCACATGTGTGAAACAAGATGGTTAATTCAGCAATTTGTCCATTCATTTTTCTGTGTGTGTCCTTTTGTGAAAGACCTTGACTGTTTAGATTCATCACTACATTCTCTGTAAAAATATATTATCGCACAGAGTCATAATCAGGTTATATTGGCCTATACCAGCTATATAATCACTTCACAGGAATTTTGATGGTATGTCGTGTGTTGACATTGATCTCTGATTATATTCTGATTTACATAGTACCCTAGATTGATTGCATGTGTGATTATTTGCAGCATATTATTCAATTATCACTTGCATAATAATGCTGCAGGTTTTTAAAATAAAAGAATAGGACAAGAGCAAATTATTCCTAGCTGTATACATCTCCAAACCTAAAAGAAGATAATTTTGGGAGGATTAAAACAAGGATACCTCACATTCACTTACTAAGTTAAGATTCAGTCCTCTTGGATGAACAGAAGCCTCTGCCAAGGCAAGTGTCAGCAGTAACAAAATCCAAAGTCTGTCCATTGATTCTGGGCAGCCAATGAGTTAATCAAAGGCTCTTGGGATGAGAGTCCAGAGCTACCGGGAAGTTGCAGTTTATAAAGCACATTGTCAAAGTCACATAAACCCTTCCTTCCAATGAATGCATCTTAGGAAAACATGTGATAGTGATAGCAAACTTGAATTGGAAAGAAACAGCAGACTAAACAGTAAAGAAACAAGCAAAATATAAGAGCTGCAGTCTACAAATCTTAGGATACTAAGTTAAGAATAAGTCCTTTTTTATTTGAAATCTGCAGAGATCAGGACCCTCAATATCAGCAAGGCGGTCATTACACCAATAGGTTCATACATTCTGGAAGCCCTTTTTGTGATCTGTTCGGGTTTAGTTGGGATATTCTATGAGGTCAGCCAGTTATTGGAAACCAGGATTCAAAGTTTAGTGTTACATGTTAATCTAACAAGTGTGATATGTTCAACAAACCATGATATATGATATGTAATTTGTGTCCTTAAATTTTCCATCTCTGCCCAATATGTCAGTTTTCTGTGAAACCTGGGAAAACTTTATAATAGTAATAGTAGTAGTAGTAGTAGTAGTAGTAGTAGTAGTAGTAATAATAATAATAATAATAATAATAATAATAATAATAATAATAATAATAATAATAATAATAATAATAATAATAATAGTAATAATAATAAAAAAGTTGGAAGGGACTTTGAAGGTCATCGAGTCCAACCCCCTGCTCAGGCAAGGAACCCTACACCATTTCAGACAAATAGCTGTCCAGTCTCTTCTTAAAAACTTCCATTGTTGCTCAATCCTTTGTTAGGATTTGGCTGAATGTGTTTGTAAACCCAGGCACTGGAGTGGAAAATCATGGTTTCTGGCTTAGTGTAATGTTACAGCTTTTGCCTTGTTGATTTAGTGTGATGTGTGGTCCAGGTCAGTTCATTAATAATGGTTTGATCCTTTCATCAATAACTTCGTTGAACTAATAGACCTATTTTGATGAAGCAAAATTAATAAGAGCAAATATAAACCTCTTCCCTTAACTTTCTAGTTGGGCTTATTTAAAAAAGAAGAATCCTAGAATCCCCCCCTTCCATCATTTATGTTAGAATACTTTTATACAGCATAATCTTTTCTAGTCTAGAGCCATCTGGACCAATTGAACACCTGTATAGATTGGCAGTGTAGCCATGCTGGCAGAGAGTGATAAGAATTTTTCCAGTCTATTANGATTTCTTTGGACCAACATGATCCACCATGCTGCTTCGGCTCCTTTCCATCCTTCCACCAACGGTCTGGCTGAACGGATGGTCCGCGTCACCAAGGACGCCCTCAAGAAGCTGACTTACGGCAACTGGCATCACAGGTTAGCTGACTTTCTCTTGGCACATCGTACTACTCCGTGCACTGCCACGGGTTAGTGCCCGGCTGAACTCCGCTGGGGTCGTCGGCTCGTGACTAAATTGGACAGGCTGCATCCGGAACGTGTAGCTGCTCAGGTGTCTCAGCCACACCCACCATGGGTCCTTCGTGAAGGTGATCCTGTCTGGGCCAGGAATTACGGGCCTGGCCACCTTTGGGTACCGGCTGTGGTCTGTAAAGTCTCGGGGCCTCTGTCTTACGAGGGTGCCAGACGGCTGCGTGCTTCGCCGCCACATCGATCAATTACGTGTGAGGCGGGACGCGCCTATGGTTCCTTCTCAGTCTCCTCTGGGGGGGGAGGAGGAATGGGAAATGCATTCTGGGATTCAAAATCAACAGCCTACGTTGGCTGTGGGAAGGGAAATGGGTACTCAACACCCAACTTCCACAGGTGCTTCTGGTAGCAGTTCTGGGGAAAGGGAGTACATAGACACCCCCACACACACTCCAGCCTGGGAGTCCCACCGGTGGCAGACTAATTATCCACCCCTATCAAGCAATACTCCAGACACGGAGAATACCTGGGAGCATACTCACAACTCACAACATGCAAGAGAGCAGGCAATACAAAGGGGGAAAACGTCCCTTGCTGAAAGGGCTCAGAGGAGGATGTCCTCACGCATCAGGGCTAACAGGGAGGCATCCTTAGTCCCTAGCACTACAGAAACGAGCCAGGAATCCCACATTCCTTCAGGAAACACGGGAATGAACTCACAAGGGTTAGATAACTCCAGTGAGGGCTGGTCAACCAGGTTTAATGACCAACAGGGCCCGGACTGCTCAATTACAGGAGACGGGCTGGAAAGCCAAGCTGAAGTCACTGGTCATTCACAGGGCACTTCACCTAGAGCAAGCGGCCACGGGAATAACAATACAAACTCTCCAGGTCTGAGAAGGTCACTCAGGGCAAGAGGCCCTCCCAAATACCTAGCCGATTACGTAAGGTGAACAGGTACATAGCACAAGCTGACTGAATGTGCTGGCGGGTTGTATTTAAATAAAACAAGGTCGGGGGGGTCACTGGATCTGGTTCAAAGGAACAGTCCCACACCTTATACATTGTGTAACTTTATTTCATTATTAATTATATTACCATCTATAGGATGGCATCCATGTGGGCGCAATCTTATTTCATCCAGGGGGAAGGGGTGTTGTGTCCTGAGCCTGCAAGAGGCAGGCTCGGGACGTTGCAAGAGTCCCAGGCATTTGCAGAAGCTGCCTGGGACCAGACTGAGCGGCGCCAGCCTCGTGCGCATGCGCAAGGCGGGAAAAGCCCGCCTCATGATTGGTTGAACTTGCCCGGTGATCGTAGGGTATAAATAGAGGCCTGCGTGCCTCTGCTCAGGTTGTTCGTAGAGTGGAGCAAACAATAAAGACTTGTTGGAGATGATTCGTCTCAAGCGCCATTATTCCCAGGACTTAACAAGGAAGTTCAGCAGAGTCTAGTGGAAAAATCTTGCTATAATAACATGTGTAAAAGGCACCTTATTTCTCAAAGTTGCATGTCAGGTTGCCTGAAACAAGAAGCTACCTGGAACCAACAACAGATGTGGCCTACTGGAACTTTCTCAGGATCCAAATATTTGTTATGCAATTCTGGACTAATCAGCCAGTAAGATGCATGTTGATAATGCCTAGCAGAATTATTAATCTAGACATGTAACACTGCCTATTCTAACCTGATCCTGACTGAGAACTATGGCAGCCATGTCAAGAAATAAGTAGTATTTACAGAGAAAAAACAAACACTCTGGTAAGGTCGATGCTGGTTTTAGTTTAACAATGAGCATGACATTTCTCTGCAAGGATTTGAGAAAATACGAACAAATTGATACGATTCCTGCATATTCATTTAAATATTCTCATGTAATTAGGAATAATAAATGTATAAGCCATGTTATATCATAAATAGGCACACATTTGTTTTCAAGAAGATTCTTTACAATGCAACAGCCTAAACAATTTTACACTGACTACAGATGATAATTATTTTTCACCATTTAGGACCATGAGGAAGTCATGCCAACTCATCAGCTTAGCCAGAGTTTATGGCAGAAGATTTTTCCAAGACTGTCTGAATATTCCTCATGCTTTTATTTGCTTATCTCAGGGTCAGTCATAAAAGACTAGTAAACACAGGGTCAGTCATAAAGGACTCAAATGTCTATATGCCAATGCACAGAGTATGAACAGTAAACAGGGTGAACTAGAAATTCAGGTAAATCAGGGCAGATATGATATTGTTGCCATTACCGAAACATGATGGGATGAAACTCACAAATGGAACACACAGCTAGAGGGATTTAAATTATTTAAAAGAAACAGACCAAATAAAAGAAGAGGTGGAGTTGCTCTCTATATAAGAAATAACTATATCTCTACAGAAATAGAGCACAACAATGATGAAAACTGTCTTGAATGCATTTGGGTCAATATAAAAGGGGGGGAAATGGCATTGCCATAGGTGTATACTATAGGCCACCCATCCAAACAGAGGAAATTGATGAACTTTTTGCTAGTCAGCTAACTAAGGTATATAGGAAGCACATCACAATAGTAATGGGGGACTTTAATTACCCTGACATCAACTGGGAGACAAACTCTGCACCAAGTGGAAGATCAAACAGATTCCTGACAAACCTAGCAGACAACTTTGTCTGCCAAAAAGTAGAGAAGGGAACTAGGGGATTAGCCATATTGGATCTAATCCTCACTAACAGAGAGGAAATGATAGAAGGAGTTGAAGCCACAGGAACCTTGGGGGAAGTGATCGTACAATATTGGAATTCAACATTATGGAAGCACAAGCAATAGAGCACAGTCAAACTAGAGTCTTGGACTTTAAGAGAGCTAATTTCAATAAACTTAGAGAGAGCTTGGGAACGATTCCATGGATTAGAATCCTCAAGGGAAAACAACTCAAGAAGCTTAGGAAATTTTGAAAAGTGAGATAATAAAAGTCCAGTCTAGCACAATACTAAGAAAAAAGAAAAATAACAGCTCTCAAAAGAACCAGCATGGCTGCATAAAGAACTCTCTGATAAGTTGAAAGATAAAAAGGACAAGTATAAAAAGTGGGAAAGGGGGACATAACTAAAGCAGAATATCAGCAAATAGTCCGAGCCTGCAAAGATGAAGTGAGGAAGGCTAAGGCTCAAAATAAACTAAGGCTTGCGACCAAAGTCAAAAATAACAAAAAAGCTTTTTTTCAACATGTAAAAAACAAAAAAGAAGTTAAGGAAATGATTGGTCCACTAGTGGGGGAAAGTGGCAAGAAGGTGACAAGCAACAGGGAGAAAGCAGAACTATTTAACTCGTTTTTTGCATCTGTCTTTACACAAAGGGAAAAAAACAGTCCAACCTATCAAAAACAGTACCATAAAAAACAGATTAGAAACACAAGTTAAGATAGGCAAGAAAATGGTAAGTGAGCACTTGTCCAGCCTAGACGAGTGCAAATCACCAGGACCAAATAGATTACACCCCAAGGTTCTCAAGGAACTGGCAGGTGTGATCTCAGAACCACTGAACTATATCTTTCAAAGATCCTGGAGCACTGGGGAACTACCAGAGGACTGAAAAAGAGCTGATGTAGTTCCCATCTTCAAAAAAGGGAAAAAAATAGATCCAGGAAACTACAGACCTATCAGCCTGACCTCAATACCTGGGACGATTCTGGAAAAGATAATCAAACAACTAATCAGCGAACACCTACAGGCAAACAAAGTCATTACTAAAAGCCAACAAGGGCTTTGTCAAAAACAGATCATGCCAGACAAATGGTATTGCATTCTTTGACTAAGAGACAAAATTAGTGGAGCAGAGGAATGCTTTGGATATAATTTACTTGGATTTCAGTAAGGCACTTGATAAAGTAGATCACAACCTACTACTTCAGTGGTTCTCAACCTTTTTAATGCCGCGATCCCTACCGGTCGTAAGTCGAGGACTAAACCAGTCGTAAGTCGAAGACTAAACCGGTCATAAGTCGAGGACTAAACCGGTCATAAGTCGAGGACTACCCAACCGGTCACAAGTCGAGGACTTTCCCTGCCCGGGAGCGCCGTGCATGCGTGGTTCCGCCCCCTGCGCCGGCCGAGGTGTAGCTGGCAAGCGGCAGAGACGGAGCAGGCCAACCACCAGCTGGCCCAGCCCAAGGAAGGTAAGGCACCCGCCGGAAAAGGGGGAAAAAATGGCTGACAAAAAAATGGCGGACAGCCTTGCTTGACGACCCCCGTGAAATGGTCGATCGACCCCAAATGGGGTCCCGACCCACAGGTTGAGAACCACTGTACTACTTGATAAGATAGAAAAATGTGGGAGGACTTCCGGTTTGTAGCACGATGAGACAGGTGGAAGAAGCCGGGGCTCTGGCTTCCCATCCTGATTTCAGTCTGCCCAGCGACCTAAGGGGTCGGAAAGTTGCCCTGGAGGGGCAATGAAGAAGGAGTGCTATTCCAGGAGCCAGGACCAGATGGCGGTCGGTCCAGGCGGACTGAAGAAACCCTCTGAAAGGAGAGAGGAAAGGCTGCTGAGCTTGCCCAGGCAGCCCAAGTCATCACCAGTCGGAAGGAAAGCAAGGAGCTGCGGCGCTCCGCCAAACAGCTGACTGTCAACAGCGTGCTGAAACTGGGTGAGCCAGCCCTTTCCCCTTTTTGTTTTGGAACTACAATTAAAATGTTGATGCCTTGACTGGGCAGAGTTAAAAAGCAAAGATCCCAGAAGGACTAGAGGAGAAGTTAAAAGTGGCGAGCAATTACAAGGGAGAAGGTCTTTTAAGGAATACAAAAAAATCTTTTAAAATTGGACTCACATTGATTTAAAAAAAAGATTACTTGTTTTACAAGAGGTGGAAAAAATTTTCTTAGCTACAATCCTAAGAGTAAATAATCTATAAAGAATTTTTTATTTAAGTTACTTCTAAGCATCACTGTTCTCTTTCAGGATTAACTGGGATGATGTAAAAGCCAAAATTGAGCAGTTCATAATGACCGCTAGGTTATTTCATTTGGGCTTTTACATCATCACAATTAAACATTACCCAGAGCAGCAGGTAATTTAATATGAAATGGTTGACAGAAATAGTACAATGTGTTAGAGGTGTGTGTGTGACAAATCATGAAGAATGGCAAGGCATTCGATTGTATATTTTTATTAACTCTCATCCAGAAGTCATTTCCAAAAGAATGGCAGCTTTCAAATGATTCAAACTAGGACATATTGCAGTAGTTATATAGGGAGAAAGGCAGGCAGATAGGACGGACAGCAAATACTGGTTTGTGATCAATGTAACATCATTTAATTAAGTCCTGCATGTTTGAAATGGCAGTGTTTTGGAGATCTTGTCTGATCTTGGAAGCTAAACACAGTTGCCACTCTTGTAGGTCATATTAAGACTGCCAACTAGACTGGGAAGTTGAACAAAATATCCCAAAGAAGGCAATAGGAACCCTATTCATGTTGCTACAAAGAAACCTATATAGAGCTGTCCATGAAATGACAGGAGGCCAGCTTGGTTGGAAGAGCTGATACTTTTGTACTGTGACCTGGACCTGGACATTCCAGTCATGATGTTTCTTGTGTGTTTTTGACCCAATCACTTGTTATCCTTCATTCTAGCTCTCTTTAATTGCTCTTGTAAAAAATTTGGAAGCCCCTTAGAGAGAAGGTTATTTATGAGAACTCACTACATTGCTAGACTATCAGAATAGAGTGGGAATCACTGCCTTAATAATTAAAAAAAATCATTTCCTAATTATCATATGTCTTCTTCCTCTGCTCATTGGTTGCTGTTGTTGTCTATTTTCTGCTCACTTCCTGATCTGCAATTTCATGTGAGTTTGAAAACTACTTCTATCTCCCACACTCCGATTTTGTGAAAGATAAATTCCCATCTTAGTCTTATTCGTTCTAGAAATGTGTTACTGATGGGCAAGATATTCATCATTAAAAGAGAATGAACATGCTTAGCAGTAACAGGTTTTGAAGATGTATCTTCACACCTGTTGATTCAGATACTTTGTCAGGATATTGTTTCAGCTTCTCAGTCTAGGCTATAGCCATGGCATTTTTACCTAATGATTTTTCCTCCATCCTACATTTGGTTCCAAGTCCAAGTAAGGTGAGCCAGATATTATTACTTGCTGATACAATACCAAATATATAAAAAAAATAATCTATGGCAAGGCCTTGTTTTGAGTAGAGTGGATGAGAAAAATATTTGAACTTAACTGAAATCTAGATAAACAAAAGGCATGCTTATTGGAGCAGTATGTAAAAGCATAGGAATTTGTTTTGCAATGAAAGTAATAATAGCTATGTGGCTACTTAAAGGAGCCAGGGTAAATCTATCCATCATACTTCTTTCTTTCTTTTTTTTCACTGCTGATTTTATTTGATGGGTCCTTGCAAATGCCAAAGTCAGAATTGACAATGCTTCCCACAATGGTCCGATCAGTATCACAGATTAAGCCGCTCTCACAAGGGCACTTGTAGTAAACTTCATATAGACTCTGCAAGAAACAGAAAGATATAGAAGATCATTATCTCCAGACTTACGGGACCCATTCAGGCAATGAATATAAGTTTTTCTATGATTCATATCAGCCTCTCCCTTGTCTTGGACACTTTTCCCAAGGTACAGAAAACAGAGATATTAGCCTGGGATATAGACCAACATTAAGCTATGAATCCCCTGGACTTCTGGTTTGCCATCGTGGCCGCTGCATCCTCTGGAAGGCAAGCTCCATCTTCTGCACTCGATTTTGCACCACTGGGGGACTCTGGAAAGGGTCAAAAGTCGCCCTGTAGGGGTTACAAGCAAGGAGGGGATCCCCGCTTGATCGCAGGAGGGCGGTAGCCCTTCCGCTTGATCTGGGGCAGCTCTCCAAACCGGCGGATGAAAGATCAACCATAGAAATATGGCCTGTCACTAGGCTGCAGACAGCCGAAATCAAACTTACCACCAGGCACTTCTAAAGGAGCACGGATGAGACTGGGTGAGATCTGAACCTCTCTTCAATCCTACCTATCTTTTCTACCTGTATAAGCTGCCCAAAGTATTTTCCCCCCTGTGGAGAGAGGGAAGGGAAATCCTATCCCACCCTCTAAGAGCAGCGGCGACTGACTATCCAGGGGAGTTTAAAACATTGAAAGAATAACCTTATTTTAACTGGATTTATATGTTTCTAAAATTTGGGACCAAAAGATTTCTTATCCCTATTGAAGATTTGGGTTTTTACCTACAAAAAAGAATTAAAACTGGGAAAAAAATTATAAAAGGTTTGGACTTAAAAAATCTTAAATGGCATTGGTGACATCTTGTGACTAAATCTGATACTACAGCCTGTTATTGTCTAAAAGAGACTTGGCTTGAAGCCCAGATAAGGCTCCTTCAACCTTGGCAGATATCAGCTGTGAGAAGCTCAGCTGTGTTCTATACCCAGTGATAAAATTATTTTCATCCCCTGATTGTAAAGCTTTTAATTTAATACACTACTAAGAGAATATGGATGAAGATCAGGAACAGATTCTTTCTATGTTGAAAGCAATTCATGAAACTATTCTTACAGCTTCTGATGAAAAAAGACGCTATAGAAAAGAACAAGATGTCAGCCTAGATATTCAAACCCTTTGACTACAATTAAAGAATCAACTATGCAGAACACAATAGAAGAAGTGGAACAAGCAAACACTATGACAGAGGATTCAATGGACCAACGAACACAGTTAATGGAAAACCCACAAAAGGGACTGATAATACTGAAAATGGAAAAGACTTTCTATATAAACCAGAAGAAATCTGAGGAACAAGAAGAACAGACTGAAGGGAAGATAAACATTCCAGGACAACTATGGGGAGATGGAATAATAACGAGACGATTTGTCAGTCCTTCAAAAAGAATGGCGATTGGATGGTCTCTTTTATTTCAAATAATATATATAATAACAGAGTGAGATCTATTTGATTATTTAAAAGCACGCACATGGAAGGCGAGTTGGCAAAGAAAGAAAGGTAGAATAAGGCTGAAGAAAATTGGGGTTTGGATTTATTAGTGAGGATGTTATGTTATTAATTAAAATAGAATATACTCAAACAGACAAGATGTGTACTTTGAATACTAGATTATGCTATGAATTAAGATAAAGAAAACTTTGGACATTTAAAACTTGGAAGTATAAATATCAAAAGTTAAATTTGAATATTGATGGGAAATTAAAAATTGGGGAAAACTAATTACAGAATATTTATTGTCTATAAAGATTGAATGTTAAAGTAATTAAGATATATATAAACTAAAAAATTTTGATAAATGTAATAAACATTTCTTTATGTAGTGATAAAATAAGAACTGTATTAGTTTAAATATGAGATAGTAGATATGAAGAGAAAAAGAGAGGAAGTATTTGATGTTGAAATAAGGGAAATTTTGGTGATTAAATTTAAGACATTTGGAAATTAGGAGAAAATAAGAATGTTATACTGTATTATCAGTTAGATGACGTAATATGGCGAGAAATAGAATATAGTCAAATAGATAGGACATGTATTTTGAACATTAGATTTTGTGATGAATTGTGGTAAAGGAAAATATGGTTACCTTAAACTTGGAAATTATAAATATTAAATGTTAAATTTAAATATTCATGGGAAACTAAAAATTGGGAAAAACTAATTACAGGATATTTATTGTCTATAAAGATTGAATGTTAAAGCAATTAGGATATGTATAAGCTAAAAACTATTGATAAATGTAACAATGTTATTTTTACTTAATTGATATAATAAGAATTGTATTAGCTTAAACATGAGACAGTAAATACTAAGGGAAAAAGAGAAGAAATATTTAATGTGGTAGTTTAAGATTTGTACTAAAGACACTTGTGTGTTATTGAATTACTGAGTAACCGAGCCGCCACGTTGCTTTTTAAATACTTAAATGTAAAACTAGAAAATCAATAAAACTTTTTTTAAAAAAGCTATGAATCCCCTAACATATGTTTCTCCATACAAATGTTTTTCACTTTTAAACTATTCATTTTCCTACAATAATGANCAATTCTCTGTAAAAATATATTATCGCACAGAGTCATAATCAGGTTATATTGGCCTATACCAGCTATATAATCACTTCACAGGAATTTTGATGGTATGTCGTGTGTTGACATTGATCTCTGATTATATTCTGATTTACATAGTACCCTAGATTGATTGCATGTGTGATTATTTGCAGCATATTATTCAATTATCACTTGAATAATAATGCTGCAGGTTTTTAAAATAAAAGAATAGGACAAGAGCAAATTATTCCTAGCTGTATACATCTCCAAACCTAAAAGAAGATAATTCTGGGAGGATTAAAACAAGGATACCTCACATTCACTTACTAAGTTAAGAACCAGTCCTCTTGGATGAACAGAAGCCTCTGCCAAGGCAAGTGTCAGCAGTAACAAAATCCAAAGTCTGTCCATTGATTCTGGGCAGCCAATGAGTTAATCAAAGGCTCTTGGGATGAGAGTCCAGAGCTATCGGGAAGTTGCAGTTTATAAAGCATGTTGTCAAAGTCACATGAATCCTTCCTTCCAATGAATGCATTTTAGGAAAACATGTGATAGTGATAGCAAACTTGAATTGGAAAGAAACAGCAGACTAAACAGTAAAGAAACAAGCAAAATATAAGAGCTGCAGTCTACAAACCTTAGGATACTAAGTTAAGAATAAGTCCTTTTTGATTTGAAATCTGCAGAGATCAAGACCCTCAATATCAGCAAGGCGGTCATTACACCAATAGGTTCATACATTCTGGAAGCCCTTTTTGTGATCTGTTTGGGTTTAGTTGGGATGTTCTATGAGGTCAGCCAGTTATTAGAAACCAGAATTCAAAGTTTAGTGTAATTTGTGTCCTTCTTGAATTTTCCATCTCTGCCCAGTATGTCAGTTTTCTGTGAAACTCGGAAAAACTTTGCTCAATCCTTTGTTAGGATTTGGCTGAATGTGTTTGTGAACCCAGGTACTGGAGTGGAAAATCATAGTTTCTGGCTTAGTGTAATGTTACAGCTTTTGCCTTGTTGATTTAGTGTGATGTGTGGTCTAGGTCAGAGCTTTTCAACCAGTGGTACGGGTACCACCTGTGGTACATTGGCACCTGGCAGGTGGTATGCGACCATCCTAGAAAAGTGGTAGCGGGGGAGGGGAATGAGCTGAACTGGTGGCAGCACCGCACAAGCCTGAGCGAGAGATGGCTGGAGCCGCAGGGCTGTCAGGGCTCAGCGGAAACACCAGGATCAGTGCCGCTTTCCAGCTGATCGGCGCTTCTTCGGGGCTGTCAGGGCTCAGTGGAAGCACCAGGATCAGCCCCAGGCTCCAGCTGGAACTCAGCGCTGATCCTGGCACTTCTGCTGAGCCCAGAAGAAGCGCCGATCAGCTGGAATGTTGCAGCATCTCCAGGGTCTTGTGATTTACATTCAGATCCTTGGCAACTGATTCATATTTATGACGGTCAAAGTGTCCCAGGGTCATGTGAAGTGACCAAAACCTGCTGCAACCACCCAGCAGATGGGTGGAATAAAAACCAAACCCCCCCACCCCACCTCCACTGCCAATCCCCAACAGAAATGCTCACAACAATGAAAACCTCCAACAGGAGGAAGAGCACCGCTGGGTGGGCAGGCAGGTGTCTTGCTCGGCTGTGGCTTGGGGGGCACTTTTTTCAGTTCCATTGTAACTTCGAACAGTCATTAAGCGAACTGTTGTAAGTCAAGGACTACCTATACTTTATCACTTTTTTCCTTTTTTGGGGGGGGTCATCAAGTTTTTGACACCTTGCTAGGCGATTGGTGGTACTCGGATATTGGTGGTACAATGGGTGAAAAGGTTGAAAAGCCCTAGTCTAGGTCAGTTCATTAATAATGTTTTGATCCTTCAGAGTACAGAGAAGAGCAGCAAAGATGATTAGGGGACTGGAGGCTAAAACATATAAGAAACGGTTTCTGGAATTGGGTATGTCTAGTTTAATGAAGAGAAGGACGAGGGGGGACATGATAGCAGTGTTCCAATATCGCAGGGGCTGCCACAAAAAAGAGGGAGTCAAGCTATTCTCCAAAGTGCCTGAAGGCAGGACAAGAAGCAACAGATGGAAACTAATCAAGGAGAGAAGCAACCTAGAACTAAGGAGAAACTTCCTAACAGTTAGAACAATTAACCAATGGAACAACCTGCCTCCAGAAGCGGTGAATGCTCCAACACTGGAAGTTTTTAAGAAGAGACTGGACAGCCATTTGTCCAAAATGGTGTAGGGTTTCCTGCCTGAGCAGGGGATTGGACTCGATGACCTCCAAGGTCCCTTCCAACTTTATTATTATTATTATTATTATTATTATTATTAATTATTATTATTATTATTATTATTATTATTATTATTATTATTATTATTATTATTATTATTATTATTATTATTTTGTTGAACTAATAGCTTTCTAGTTGGGCTTATTTAAAAAGGGAACAGAGAATCCTAGAATCCCCCCCCCCCCCATCATTTATGTTAGAATACTTTTATACAGCATAACCTTTTCCAGTCTAGAGCCATCTGGACCAATTGAACACCTGTATAGATTGGCAGCGTAGCCATGCTGGCAGAGAGTGATAAGAATTTTTCCAGTCTATTATTAGAGACTCTATCAGACAAAACTGATACAGGACGTTCAGCAGAGTCTAGTGGAAAAATCTTGCTATAATAACATGTGTAAAAGACACCATATTTCTCAAAGTTGCACGTCAGGTTGCCTGAAACAAGAAGCTACCTGGAACCAACAACAGATGTGGCCTACTGGAACTTTCTCAGGATCCAAATGTTTGTTATGCAGTCCTGGACTAATCAGCCAGTAAGATGCATGTTGATAATGCCTAGCAGAAATATTATTCTCAATCTAGACATGTAACACTGCCTATTCTAACCTGATCCTGACTGAGAACTATAGGAGCCATGTCAAGAAATAAGTAGTATTTACAGAGAAAAAACAAACACTCTGGTAAGGTCTATGCTGGTTTTAGTTTAACAATGAGCATGATATTTCTCTGCAAGGATTTGAGAAAATACAAATAGACTGATATGATTCCTGCATATTCATTTAAATATTCTCATGTAATTAGGAATAATAAATGTATAAGCCATGTTATATAATAAATAGGCACACATTTGTTTTCAAGAAGATTCTTTACAATGCAACAGCCTAAGCAATTTTGCACTGAGAACAGATGATAATTGTTTTTCACCATTTAGGACCATGAGGAAGTCATGCCAACTCATCAACTTAGCCAGAGTTTATGGCAGAAGATTTTTCCAAGACCGTCTGAATATTCCTCATGCTTTTATTTGCTTATCTCATATTTTCCATTTTTTAGCCAATTGTTCCAATACATTTGATGAATATCAAGTTGAGGTGGCTATACTTTTAATCTTCAACCAGCCAAGAAAGTTCTGTACCTTCCCTTTCAATGGGCTTCCAGCCATGATGGACTGGAACACTTGGCTTCTCAGGAATCCTCAGAAATGGCCAGATGTGCTGCAGCAACAAGAAGCCATCTTAGAAAATACCAATCACATTTGTACAAATTAGATAGCCAAGGAACTGGCTCCCTAATTCTACTCCAACTGAGAAGAATCAGGGACCAAACAAAAATAAACATCAACATTATACTTGGGGAGTTTCAAGTAGTAGGTTCATGTTTTGGTCATGTTGACAATTATGTGTGTCTGCCTGCTGCTAAAGAATTGGGATCTCTGCTCATCGGTGATCTGCTTTTTGCCACCCATGATGCACTGATCCTTCTGATGGGCAAACTGATGGAAGAGAAGGGTCAGCACAATACTGCAGGGAAGACCAGCTAGTGCTCAAAAGCTTCCTCATATGTTGCTTCTCATTAAAGTTCCAGGAGTAAGAAGATAAGTGGAAAGTGGAGGCCAGAGTATGGAAGCCAAAGTATGGATGACCATGCTCAGATATTGGCTCAAATTATTTCTTTTTCCCCTTGGCCTTGCCCTGGGGAAGATTTTCAATCCACATATAAAAAAGGCAGTGACAACTAAAATGTCATCCCTGGGCTCCTCTCCAGGTTTTCTACTCAGCATTGGATATGACCAGGCTAAAGCTCTTATTAAGCAGCATATAGCAGACACTGAGTGCTAATTGGACCTAGAGACATCTCCAAACTTTACTGCCAGTGAATCCAACAGGTACTCTGCTTCTCTCATAATATACTTAACCAAACTCAAAGTAAGTTGGTCAGTAGGTAGCCCCTGGAGGGCCTTCATTCTGGCATGGTGCGATGCTCTCTTCTTAGCTGTCCTTGAAAGCTGATACAGAAAAATTCCCTACCTGAAGAGGCAATGTTCCTGTAACTCTGGACATACTGAAACAATAGGGCAGTGGTCCCCAACCTTTCTGGAACCAGGGACCATTTTTGTGGAAGACTATTTTTCCACAGGCGGGGTGGGTGGGGGAATGGTTTCACAAGCAACCTAGTTCTCATGCATGCGCAAATAAAACTTCGCTCGCTCACCCACTGCTTGTGCAGCCCACTTCCCAACAGACCATGGGCCAATACTAGTCCATGGCCCAGAGGTTGGGGACCCCTGTAATAGGACATGTGCCCCTCCAGTATCCATACTGCAGAAACATTTGTCTAGCCTCATCTCAACAATACTGTATAAATACCAAGTGCACACAGGACAATTTTATATCTCTCTACTCCTTTCAAACACTAATCCTGCTACAATATACAATGTTGCTAGGCTCTGTACTGAAGCAATTAAAATCCATCAGATGATCAACTGTGCTTCAAACCAGCTTTAATGAGCATTTGACTTGTTAGTTGAGAGTGCTTTGTATTATGATAAATTTAGATAGGCATATATTAATTTTTAAGGATTTTTTATACTTTTCAATAGTTTTTTAGGTTTTTGCTTATATATACAGTATTTTGGGAGCATAGATCTGCAGGGGATCTGATTAAGATAGAATAATACAGAGTTAATATAGGAATATAGAAAGGTTAACTTTGTGAATGTTCATACATTACACTAACCATGATTTACATGTCTACTATTTGTTAGAACACTATTAACAAAGTTGCATAATATTTAGTGAACTAACTGTATTGTTTAGAGATGTTTATGGTCAAAACTATACAAATCACATAATAGCTTAGTGTGATTTATCAATCCAGCCTTAAAGCCAATACCTGGAACAACCAGCACATCCTTGATGTTGTACAAATTGGCATCTTGCTCTCTTTTGTAGGATGAACACAATGTGCTTTTATGTTAACTCTATATTGAACAAGATTTATATGTCCTATCCAGGAACATACTATTTTCCAAAGTATAATTGTTAATGGGGACGGTGGATTAATCTCCATCTATCCTAGTCAAGGATGTCTGTGATTGCCCTCTGATGTGTGTCCCCAATTAATCGGAAACAGTGTTTCCTGGTCGGTACATCAGTCTTGGGCTTCCTGGCTTTCTCAGCCAATCGCTGTCTGTGGTGCTGAAACAGAGCTCACAAATAAGCTGCTTCCTCTCCGAGTGCTTGGAAGCAGGAGGGATATTCCCTCTACACTGTAGTGTCTACAGGGAGGGAATGCCAACTTCTTGGAAAGCACCAGATATGTAGGATGTTGAGAGAGGAAGAACAGGAGCAGCAGCAGCAGCAACTAAGGCTAAGCAAGCACTCTTCAGGCTCCAGCACCTCCCACCGAGCTGTTCAGCATTGAAACAAATAGCCTTTCTTGCAAATGGTCATCTGAGCATCTGAGGCTGGGGCAAAGAGTCACAGGAAAGGCAAGAGCTGCTTCACAGAATCTTGATCTATCAGGGAGGTGGAAAGCCAGCCTTGCAGCCCCTCTTCCTTGGATTCAGCTTCCCTATGTGCTGCTCCTCGTTAAAGTTCCTGGAGTGAGAAGGCAATTGTTTTCTGTTTGATCCTGAACTTCAAGGCATGTCTTACAAGACATAGCCATCTCTCTGTGAAGCCATGGCAAAGATGCTTCCAGCACAGGAAGCGGCAAAGATCTATCATACCAACTACGTGAGGAATGCTCGAGCCATGGGAGTGCTGTGGGCACTGTTCACCCTCTGCTTTGCTGTGATCATGGTGGTAACTTTCATCCAGCCCTATTGGATTGGAGACAGCATTGATACTCCACAAGCTGGTTATTTTGGCCTCTACTCCTATTGCATTGGAAATGCCCTGACTGGTGAACTCATCTGCAAGGGCAGCCCTCTGGACTTTGGCACCATCCCTTCAAGTGCTTTCAAAACAGCCATGTTTTTTGTGGGCATTTCTACCTTCCTTATAATTGGCTGCATCCTCTGCTTCAGCCTCTTCTTCTTCTGCAATGCAGCCACTGTCTACAAAGTGTGTGCTTGGATGCAACTGGCAGCATGTGAGTTGGACATAGAGAACCCGGGGGGTAGAGTAAGACATCCATTAAACATACAGTACCTTCAGTGTGCTATGGGATTCCTGCTCAAGTATATTATGCTTGGGAATACCAGAACCTCTTTGCTCTATCTCCCAAATTTGCAGTGCAAGGGGCAACTCTTTAAAGTGAATATATAAATTTGCCATTTGGACTGAAGTTCTATTGGCATCATTCCTAATAATGAGAAAGCAAAATGGATTTGTGGTACTGCAAAGTAAATATTAGCTCCTTGATGATGCAATGCTTTTCAGCATGTGGATATACATCTGTCATTTGGATTCAAGTTCCATTGGCAGCTTCTTCCTGAACGTGCTGTCGCTGAAACCAAAATATTCAATTTCTTTAGTTCTCATGTCAGCTAGCAATGTGTTTATTTTAGTGAGATGACCTGTTCTTGAAGTTACATTGTAGTCTGTTAAGTGATATGCAATTACAGTTAACTGTATAATCTATTTGAAGAACAGCAATTTTTCTGATTGTTTGATTTTTTAAAAAATGAAGTTATGTTTTAATGTCTTTTTCCCCTTAATCTGCTTTCTTTGTGGCTGCCACAACCACTGTCTCTGGTGAAACTGTAGGATGCAATCATGAAGTGACTATATAGAAGGTGTGTTAATTTAAAACCTCACTGAAACAAACCAGGAATGGGCAAGGAGAACATAGGATATGATCAAGGCTCCATCTTCAATGCTTTTGACAGGCAGGTTTAGCAGTTAGCATTGCCTAGAGAGGAGATATGTGTTTTAAGAAAGCTGCTTAAAGGAGAAAAGGAGATGCTTTATATAGGATATTAGCAACTAGCAATTTCTGAGGCCAAATGGAAAATGAGCTTCTGTTTGTATTTCCTTTTATGAATGAGAAAAGTCAGAAAATCGTCAAGATAGTTGCAGCCTAAGAAGAAAAACAGGGAGAAATTTTGATTCATAACAGAAAACTGGCAATGTAATAGTCACCACCAACTGACACCTTTCAGATATATTAAACTACACTTCCTATAATTCCGTGCTAGTGTTGCCATAGGAAGGGTTATGATGAGGGTAAGGTATACTACTGCAATATTTAATAGCAAAAGGGTATAGGTTTTAGTAATTCAAAATAAATAGTGGGTTGGATTCAAACATAGCCATAATTACAATAGCTTCACCAAAAATACTTGGACTTAAGATCCAATCAGTTTTAATTGGAATGCTTTACATATAAAACTATGTATAGCATTCCTGTATTTGTCAGCAATGGTATAGAAAGAAAATAATATTTAAGGAAACCTGAGCCTAACAAGCATTGCAAGTCATAACACACACAGCACACACACAAGGTCATAGAGCCAAAATTAAATAATGCTGTTTGGGAAATAGTATGTAGACAGAAATTCAAAATGAAATAAATCCTGCCTTCTATCTGTTGATTTATAAGGGTTTTTTTTATTAGTGGCAAAGTTTTTTTTTTAAATTTAATTGCTTCTTCCACCTCATTCTGAGAGAAATAAATGAGCTGCATTATTTAATGTTATGTAAAACACGAGCATCCTTTGCTTGAAGAAATGCATTTTGGCTTTCCATCTTCTAAAAATTACCACAAATTCAAATTAGGGCCAGGATTAGGTAATGACTTTCCATTCCGCCTAGAATATCCTGCTTAATATGTGTAAGCTAATTAAGCCCTGCCTGTAATGGGGATGCCAGAGATGAGCAAAATTCTCTGCAGTTTTTCCATAGTGAGATAGACCTGCAGAAAGCAATCTTAAAGTAAGAAGATGCTGAAGCCAGTAATGATATTTGAAACCTTTTTCAAATATTCATGCCAGTGAACAAAGCCTGGTTACATTATCTTCTTCAGCAAATAGAAATGCATTGAGTGAAAGAGAGGTTAAAGTAAGTCTGGCAGCACAGCAACAGGTTTAGCAGTAGCATTTCGAATAAGCTGCAAGGACAGGCATGGCATTAAAGAAAGCTGTAATTCCTGCTGGCCTCAAACATAAATAACTTAAGAGGCTCGAAAAGGCTTCTGATTAACCCACATTGGTTGAAGAGCACAGTGCTGAAGGACTGTAAAGATCCTAAGTGACAGGAGTACAGGGGTATAAAAGCTTTTCTTAAAATAATAAATCAATACATTGCTATGGCAACCTACTGACATGTGTCTATTCAAGTAACACACTCTCATTCATCTGAAAATTTACCTTCCTCACAATAACAACAATAATAATGTGTTATACTGACTACAGAATCCAGTACCTTGGAAACCTCAACATATTTCCATATAAATTCCTGGCTGTTTAAATTTACATCTTAAAATACAGGTGAGTTTTCACTTAAAGACCACAACTGAGACAGGTGACTCTGTCACTAATGTATTTGTTAAGCAAGCCATCATGTGACTGCAACTTGCAATTTTAATTGTCCACTTCTGCATTGACTCTTGTCAGAAGCTGGCTGTGAAGAGTGCAAATGGCAATCACATAACCCAGGATGCTGCTACTGTTTGAGTATGAGGACTCATCCTAAAGTTATTTTTTCTACACTGTTGTAACTTCAAACAGTTGCTAAGCAGGGCAGTTGTTAAGGGAGGACTGCCTGTATGCCACAGATTAAAACTCAGGATGCAAAGAAAGGGAATGAATAGATGTTTTAAAATCTTTTCTTCTTGAATGTAGCAAATGTGCCACAGCAAATAACTAGCCTAACTAAAGGAACTAAAGAAAAGGGTCAACTACGGTAATACTTCGCTGGAAAATAGAACTAAAAATAGTTTCATAGCTCTTGATCTCTTGCAGGAATATCACGTGGTCATAAACTAAATGGTAAGAAAAGCAATTCTCAATGCCCTGTGCTTGTCCACTTTTTCCAAGAATAGAAATTATGTGTCCCTCTTTTTACTTTTCATGTTAAACTCTAATACAGGGGTAGTCAACCTTGGCTCTTTTATGACTTGTGCACTTCAACTCCCAGAATTCCTGAGCCAGCCATGCTGGCTCAGGAATTCTGGGAGTTGAAGTCCACGAGTCATAAAAGAGCCAAGGTTGACTACCCCTGCTCTAATAGTATGAGTGTTTCGGACAGGTTACAGATCTCTCTTACTATACTCATCGAAGAAGAATAGCTTATAAAGTATTAATCATAAGTATTTTATTTCCAAAAAGTAGTCACATATCTTCTATGCCCTGGATAAGGGGCTGGCCTGTGGTTATTCAATCCGGGGAAGAAAAGGTCTGATGCTAACACTAGTTTCCAGGACTACAGCTTTTCTTTAGTTCCCAAATTAAGCCTGTACTTGCACTAATTCAAGCTTTCAGTAAGCTTGGCTGAAGTTGTGGTTTTAGCAAAGAGAGCAGGATGAGAAACAATATTGTATCATGCTTTCTGATCAGTTTCGAAAGAGAGAGAATAGAAAACGGGACTATCCATTTGTCAAAGGTGGTAAAAGACAGTAAAAGTACTTTACAGTGTACTGTCATGCCATCATTTGCACTTGAACCTCCTTTTGCATCTGTCCCTATTTATTTATTTATTTGTTTGTCTGTTTATTAGATTTATATAGCTTGCCCAGCTTGCATAATCAGGAGCCTGAGCAGAAAACTTTATATGAAAAACCCACGAGAGGAGATACCACACTGAGGTTGCAACTGTGTCTTTCAATATCATCACGTTCCATTCCAGGTGCGGGCTTGTCCATTGGCTGCCTGCTCTACCCTGATGGCTGGGACTCCCCTGAGGTGAAACGCATGTGTGGAGAGAAGACTGACAAATACACCCTGGGAGTCTGCACTGTGCGCTGGGCATACATCCTTTGCATCATCGGCATTCTTGATGCCCTCATCCTTTCTTTTTTAGCATTTGTGCTTGGCAACCGGCAAGACAATCTTCTACCCTCTGATTTTCAAGTGGAAAACAAAGGTAAGCCAATTTTTTCCCCAGAGGAACCTACCCCTCCCATAGTCAAAACAGCAAGGACAGCGGAACTATAGATGATGAGGATTTGGACATTTACTTCCATAAAATTTATAAGGACAAAAAGTCCATAAGCTTGTCTTGTGTGCAGATTATTAATATTAGCACTCATGCCACATCAGAATTGTCAGAACCTTTCTTTTTTAGTTACTTTAAATTGTTCTCATGGTATCCTATTTTTCTTCCATGCTTCAACAAAAGGCAATACATGCAAGCTACAAGATGTCTACTGGCAATTTTTTTTGGCTATATGCAGTTTATTCCTGTAAAAATCCATAATGTGCCCCTGTATTAGTGCCTGACAATGGCTGAGTTTGGTGATTGCATAATTGACTCTGCTGGTACAGGGATTAATAATACATTTAATAGAATATTCTAATTCACTGCAAGTGAGGGATTGGGCAGGTAAGGAGCAGAGCAGAATCATGAATGCATTATAAATCATTGGAGAAAAACATACAGGGCAAAAGCTTCTGCAAAGTTTTTGTTTGGAAGCCCTTAGACTTCCAAAGTTTAAAAAAAAAACCTCAAGCATGCTTCTGGTATTTGTAGCTACTGTATAAACTAAATTATTCCCTTTCCCTAGCTAACAATTAAAATAGCACGATACACATGAGACTGTTACTTTGTGTCCTATCACTGTTTTAAGTTTTAGACATCTGTAAAATGCAAAATCCCGTTTTGATAAAAATGAAACTATTCCATTGGCCTTTAGTGCAGCTCAGGGGGTTTGGGATTCTAGAATGAAAAAGGCTACAATTTGGACATTTTATATAGAGGACTAGCATCATTTATGTTTTCTCAAATGTCAGGCCAATCTTCCCATTTGGAGAAGTTTCAAGCAACAAAATGGGTGATTAAAACTTCTGCCTTTTCACCTGTTTTCCAAATGTGCATTTAACCCAGGGGTCTTCAAACTTGGCCCTTTTATGACTTGTGGACTTCCAGAATTCCTCAGCCAGCGTGCCTGGCTGAGGAATTCTGGGAGTTGAAGTCCACAAGTCATAAAAGGGCCAAGTTTGAAGACCCCTGATTTAACCTGTCTGTTCAATGTGTCTTTTCTGCTTGTTAACAAAAAAAAGCTGCAGTGTTTTTTTTCTCTCTCAATGTCAGAAAACATGGGAAAAATGGTTTCACAGTGCCCTCTGTTGAAGAAGGAAAAGGTTATTGGGGATGTTATTACCAAAACTTCAAAACAAAATAATAAACAAACTAAAAATAAAAACTCTACAACTTTCAGCTTTCAGGATGCTGTAAAAAACTTGGTAAAGTCCTCAAGCTGAGAGATGCTACTTACCCCCCCTTTTTTAGTGACACATATAAATATTAACTTGACCTGGTTGTCACTAATTGTCATTGCCATACTACCGTAATACAGTTGAAGTAAGTTACTCCAAAGCAGAGCCCTTCTGTTCCCTGGGTTTACAACCATAGTCAAGCTTGGTCAACAAATTCAACGGTCTTCATCAAGCGCTAATGGCAAATTCTATCCTATGTGTAGCATGTGACATCACAGCTTCTATTTAGACCAAATGTGGTTATTTTAAAATGTATGGACTTCAACTCCCAGACTTAGATCATGAAAGAGGGGTTATTATTCCATTAGCTGCTTTTGGAGAAATGGGGAGGGGAAATGGCACTTTCTAGATTATTATGGAGTGTTCTTTTGTCCTACAGAGGAAGCAAATAAATGAAGATGAATACTGAAGGAATCGCAAGTGTACTTACTTCTGCCCTTGAATACTGAGCACCCCAACCTGATCTTGAACTCAGATAAGCTACGTGGCACACATGAATGCTAATGTGGATTCTGCCAGCTATCTAGACACATCAGTCTGTATTATAGAAGAATGATTCTGCAAAATAGTGCGCTTTTCCAGAAAAGGAGACTATGACAAAGTAAATTTTGTTCAGCATGACATCAATTGGTTTTGATCTCCACATCCTGTTTGCAATGTTTTGTACATTGTTCTATAACTGTGGGGCCCAATATATATGGATAATTAATAATAGACCTCAAAACATTTTGCTGAATTAAATATTGCATCCATTCAGCCAGTTTGATATTACTTATAACAGGCATATGCTGCCCTGCAAACTCTACTTCAGGAAAATGTAACCCTTTAAGTCTTGTGAGTCATGTGTAAGTTAAAATGTCTATGTAGCACATATGGCAACTGCCCAAGCCTTCTCATCAGAATTGTATTTTTTTTTCCAGGCTTGTTAAGATACATGCATTGACATAAGTCATGGGATTTTGCTTTCTTTAAACCAATGGAGTACAGTCCCCATTAATTCATTTGTCCAGTTAATATGAACTGAAAAACGTTAGGTTGTATATAGGAGTTACAACTTGGAGCTTTTGGACCAAGATATTATTCAGGATTACTGTTTGCATTTCAATCAAGGGGGTGATAGTATATTTGTATTTGTATATCCAATTTACATTTGTCACAAGGCAATTCTGAAAAAAATATGGATCTTTCAAAGCTTTTGAATACACACACACACATACACACACACATACCCTCTGTGATATAGAGACCACCCCCATCCCAGTGCATGCTGTTCTATCTTTTTATAAAGGTCACTTTCAGGGATGACCATATCCCTGTGACACTGGATTTGTTACATTTCAAAGTTATCATTTGTAACAGAGATTTAATTAAATGGCTCTGATTACTATGCCTTTGCATAGAAACACCTTTACACTGTGTCTTTTTTCAAATGTTGCTGATGTGCATCTTACACAACCCTGTCTTGTTCTCTCTCCTATTAACCCATCTTCAACAATGTGTCTTATCACTTATGGGATTTTTTTTTGAAACGTCATGATGGGGAGCACTTGTCAGTTTTCCCAGGAAATTGGGAATGTTTTGAGAACTGTTCTATCTTCTTGATGTTATATAGTCAATCAGCCTGGTTCTATTCTGGTTCAAATGGAGTCTCTCTTATGCAGGTTTGACTTACTCAAAGTGTCTTAGATTAGTGCCTAATCTAAATTATTCCCACGGCACCACTGTTTTATCTATGCACTAGAACTTCCCAACCTCTGTCCTTTTAGCTGATTCATGGAACAGATGTTTTTAAGGATGCTTAAGCAGCCCTGGACCTTAATATGCATTTCGTTGCCTACATTTGGTTTTCAGAATTGGCCGATTACTGAAATATCATTAATTCTAATGTGGACTGCTGCTTTTGGTACTATCCAACAGCTTCTCTGCACAGTATACTATGCTCCCAAGAACTATACCTATCACTTCTAACGCTTGATTAATCTACAACCCAAAGCCTGCTGCTCCCTTCAGTAGAACACAAGTTCATCATCCAAGGATTGAATTCTTCCTATGAGCACACCTCCCTTTATCCTTGAAAAGTCCTTTCCCATTCCCATTTCACTGACAGCAAGAAATCTATTAACCTAGAAATGGTATATGTCAGAAGATCTTATTTGCATCTTTCTTCCTAAGGATGTTCAGCTCACCTAACTTGGTTTCAAGGGAGAGACTTGTTGGAAGAATCAAAAGATCATTGCATTAAATATAAACTCAATTAATGCTCAACTGACAGTCATACATATGACACTCCAATAAACCAGTACCACTACACCAGCTGACTTTCTATCACCATATTCATTAGTGTTGGCCATTTTAAAAACACTAAAATAAGCTCCTAACTTATACTTTTAGAGTTCAGAATCCTGGCTTTCTCTCATGATTCACTGGAAATGGAAGAATATTGTTTTCCTTCCTCCATTTGCCTTCGTTTCTGTTTGCTCTCTCTGCACAGAGGTTCTGCTGCTTCTCCTGGTTCCTAAAGAGCAGGGGTGTCAAACTCAATTTCATTGAGGGCCACATCAGCATTGCGGTTGCCCTTGGGGGGCTGGGTGGGTGTGGCCAGAGTGGGTACAGCCTACTGGGTGGGCGTGGAGTGGGTGTGGCCTACTGGATGGGCGTGGTCAGTTCTACATCATTCGCGTCAAGGGTGCCTGTGGGGGCCTGGGCAGGAATGGGACAGATCTGAGTATCTCTGGCAGAAGGGGGTAGGACTAGGGCAAGTGCCAAGGCATGGTCCACCGGGGCAAGTGCTAAGATGGCCACCACAAAATTGTACATTAGCTCCTGGCTAGCCTGGGCCAGGGCCAAGGCAGCGGGGCTGTTCCCTCACTGTTTCCAGGATGGCTTCGCGGGCCACATGAAACCACTTCACGGGCCACATCTGGCCCCTGGGCCTTGTGTTTGACATGTCTGCTAAAGAACATAAGTGGAGGAGCCTAGCAAGAGCTCAAGCAAGTGCAGGTACACACATTTCATTAAAAAAAAAGGAAAAATTAGTCTCAGGAATGAACTGTTTTCCTTAAATGTAGTTGCATTTAACTTCCCTGCTTTTTTCTCTCCAACTCACTCTGATCTAAGTACTGCTCTGATGATAAATTTGGCTAAAAATAAAGAGCAAAAAAGCCAAATAACATTATAGGAGCTGGAAATGAAATAATTCTCCTTCCTCCTATCCGTAACTTACAAAACTACATTTAGCACCCATAGGATTTCATCAGTAGTGCTCATATTTAATTTTTCACTGACTACGTTCAAATACCATCCTAAACTTTGTGACAGGTTTGATCTTATTCTACATGCCATTTTATGCTTATGCTTAGAGTGTGTAAATCATTTATATTTCACAGGACTTCTGATAAGAGCTCTACAACAAACACTTCAGGTGAACATAGACAGCATATTCAAAGTATCTGTGGATTATTGGATAATCTGTTTATTGTGCTGTATTTACAAAGAAAAAAAGACAATACACCCAATAGAAAGAATAAAAATGTATTTTCCTTCTAGTTTTTAGGTCAACAAAACAAGTACAAATTGGTTAGTGAGCACTTTATGGCAATTTGGAAGTTGAGTGAACCTGATGTGAACTACGAAGTACGCAGACAATCCAGACAAGCTACCACTCGTGCTATCTCAGAACTTCTCTTTTAGTGCAAAAGAGCTGTGAGCAGTCTCCTTCATTGGAGAAGAAGCCTTTATTACAACCAAGAGATGCCTCTTGTTCTAGTCCAGGGGTAGGCAACCTTGGCTCTTTTATGACTCGTGGACTTCAACTCCCAGAATTCCTGAGCCAGCCATGCTGGCTCAGGAATTCTGGGAGTCGAAGTCCACGAGTCATAAAAGAGCCAAGGTTGCCTACCCCTGTTCTAGTCAGATAGCCAGGCTATGCAAATGAGGCTACATTGTCACCAGAAGTTCAATTCTTCTTGCCAGAATGTCTTCACAGTATTCAGAAAGGAAATACAAACATACATTCTAGTCCTATCCTAAATCTTTTTACAGACAGGCACAGAAGTGCTTTTGGGAGGCAAGATACCCCAAATAATATGAATAAAATGAAAACTTTTGGAACATTTTTTCCTTTTAAGGTTATGCCCAGAGAACTTTATTTAAGCTTTTCTAAACAGAAACGAACGTTTTGCTAAAACCCCAGTCTCGGTAGCATCACCAAATTAAACATGAGATATGATGCTTTGTTAACACATGCTAACCAGATTTTTTTTTTTTCAGCAAAGGGGAGCATCTTAAAAGGACTCTAAATGAGGATTTGCCACACAATGAAAAGAATGACCTTGCTACTGGCATATGCACTGAATTGTCCCAAACAGGGCCTGAAAAGTATCAGGTCTCTAGCATTTTCCAGCCTTGGGAGAATTTTCTAATCTCAAAATTCTATTTGGTCCATTGTTGGGCAGGCAACTGAAGTCCCAGCTACCCCAAAACTATCATTACAGCTGGATACAAAAGACATTTAAAAGAAAGTAACCAGGGATACTCTAGGAGATGCTTACTGTAAAACTAACAAGTGTTTTATATTCTTCTAGTTAAAAAAAAATCTGATAAGATTCAGTCACAACCAGTTCTTCTTAGAGTTTGAAAGTTACAATATATTCTGTTGAGCAGTATGTTTGTAATGATTTTGAAAACAGAATCTGTCACTTCATCTCTACTGGAAAGAAATTAAGACTATTTGTCCTGAAGGTTAATATATAAGTAAAAACAGCATTCTATTTAAAAAGGTAATTTCTAAAGTCTAGCATTCTAGACTAGTTAACACAGTTGATAACATTACATTCATTAACATTTGTTGGTTCTAGGTCTGGGCATATAGCAAGGTTGAAAAGATAGCACTAATACCATCTTTCCTTATTTTATAGTAAGGATATAATCTATCTTTCTGAGGAACTGCTCTCTAATAAAAATACAATTTCACACATGGCCAATATGACACCAATGGCATAAAGCAGACCTACGTAACAAGTGGACTGCCACAAACTTGGTAAATTCCTACTTTTGAACTCCAGGTTGGGTTGCAGAAATACTTTTATCGAGCTCAAGCTGGCAGTGACATATTGCCCAAGGCTACGTACTGGACAGACCTGGCACAGAATATGGGTACTCTGACTCCCCTCTGCAGCCAATAAATGCATAGAACATACTGCAGAAATGGTTACTTTTACCACATTCTTTCATTTTATTTCCCTTGTGAAATTTATTCAGGTTTATATGCCCCACCTTTGGAGAGCAAAGTTTATTGGACTCAGAACTACCCTGAGCACCAAAAATCAAAAATGGCATGTGTGTATGTGTGTAAGTTATATATACATATATAAATATATATATATATATAACTTCAAAAGATTCAATGGCTAAAGTATGTCCAAAAAAAATAAGAAAAAAAAAGTTATCCAAGCAGCAGAGCAGACACTTAAGGATTTAGTTGAATCTAGTGCTCCTCATGGAGCTACCACCTCGGTGCCATCTGCTATTTTTCCTCTTACTGCCACAGCAACTGAATGTGCACTAAGAAATGACTCCCAGAGTCAGTGAGCTAAGGAGGGATTCACAAGCTCGTCACATCCCCCTTGGGATGACTGCAATATACTTAAGGGACTTTATCCCCGTGAAGATTTCCTTTTAGGTAAGGTATCTGTGTAAGGAAGAGACTATGCAATAATTTCACATTCCCATAAAAATTCTTTGGCAAACTCCAATCATTGCAAATCATATTGGATGTCCACTGGCTAGTAATAGTCCCCACCAAGTCAAATACACAATCTCACGTGAACAGTTAGATTTATCTAAAATCTAAAAAGCCTTCAAGGAGAAGCTTCACTCTGAAAATCAACAAGGAAAAAGTTGACCTGGAAGAAGGAAAAGGGACAGCTGGGACATCTAGGTTTGTGTATGTCTCTCTGTGTGTGTATGTGTGTGTGTGTGTATGTGTGCGTGTGTGTGTGAGTGTTTATATATTTTATGCTGTAATCCAATTAGAGGGCCACCATATCAGACTGGAGTGTTTAGGAGTTGAGCCAGGGATGCCTGAGACACTGTGCTGCTGTAGCTCTTTTTTCAGGATTCAGCTCTAGCATAGGTAATAAGAAGTCTGTGAATGCAGCTGCATCATCTTGGGACCATTCATATTTTTCCATCAATACTTCAAAGAGACCCCATGGCTTTAGTTTAGTAATGTGCTTCAGATCACCTGTGAATAATAACAGAGATATTAATATAATATGTGCAGGAAGGCCAACAGAACAGTTCACAGAACTGAGTTAAAAGATGCATTTCAAAAGAAAAGAAACTTTTTTTCTGTTCCAAAATTCATAATTTCCATTATGCAGGCAGGCAGGGAGGCAGGCAGACAGCACTGCATTGCACAGTGTTTCTCAACCTTGACAATTTTAAGGCACGTGGACTTCAACTCCCAGAATTCCACAGCCAGCAATGCTGGCTGTGGAATTCTGGGAGTTGAAGTCCACGTGCCTTAAAATTGTCAAGGTTGAGAAACAGTGGCATAGCAGAATATGTTTTAAGCAGAATATGTTTTAAGCAGTCTAGATTTCAAAGCATGATTGAGAAATCAGGTATTCTAAGTTTTCTTCCTTATCTTCAAAGAGACCAAATAAGTATATTTATCACCCAACATAAAAGGTGATTCTTTTCAATATAGGAGAAACATGTGCGGAAACATAGGAAACTGGACTAGCTGTCATACAGGACGTCGTTGCATTAGTGATATTATATATGTTTGGAACATTTAGTTTTCAGGTTCATTTGGAGCAATTGCCAGCCTGAGTTAAGAACACTTCTCTCTTCATCTCAAAATTTCTTATTTCAATAATAAACTCTGGGAAAGTTTCTAGCCAAGAAAAATATATCAGTCAAACTCTTTAAACAAAACCACATTGGTAGGGCCCTCTATTAGCAGCCCTATTTCCAGGAATAAAAAATTCAGGTTCAATTCCTTCAGGTTGGAATAGGGCTATAGGTTCCATATACAGTTAGTCCTCGACTTAAAACAGTTCATTTACTGTAGTTACAGTGGCACTGAAAAAAGTAATTTTCAGTGACCGTTTTTCACATTTACGATCACTGCAGCATCCCCATAGCCATGTGACCAAAATTTGGACACTTAACACCTGACTCGCATTTATGACGGTTGCAGAGGTCACCTGATTATTTTTTGCGACCTTCTGACCAGCAAAGTCAACGAGGAAACCAGATTCACTTAACCTCTGTGTTACTAATTTAACAACTGCAGTGATTCACTTAAGAACTGTGACAGGAAAAGTTGTAAAATGGAGCAAAATTCACTTAACAACTATTTCACTTAACAACAGAAATTTGGGGTTCAATTGTGGTTGTAGGTTGAGGACTACCTGTATAAGAAGAGAGAAATAAAAGACCCTATCAATTATGGGAAGTTTAGTTTGCTAAACTGGGAAAATTCAGTAGTACAAATTACTTTTTTTGTTTGGTTTCTATTGGTTTTTCTTATTGTAAATGTAATCTTTAACAAAATTTACTATTAAAAATATAGCAATTTAATGAAAAATAATCTCCTTTCATGAGGAATACTTTGTTTTAGCAAATGCTCAGGTTATTTTAGACCTGGCAGTATAACTGATCGGTGTTTTTATATTAGCATATCTAGGAGGAAAAATATTCCATTTCCTGAAAGGCAATTTGCTGCCTGTAGAGGCTTTAAGGATGCCTTTGATTTTATTATTGGAATCAAATTTTGGGTTAAATTAAAGAATTTGTTCCCTGACAGGCATCTTGCATTTTTAATATGGGCATCATATTATGATAGTATAACATAGGTTAAATGGAACAGAAAAGTTTTATTTACAAGCAACAAAATGAGTAAGACAAGACTGTATTTTGGCCTCAATACTATTTAATCTGTATATCAATGATCTGGAGTCTCTATTACCTCAGGCCAATGCCCACTGCCCATTATAACGAAAATGAAAATGTGTACTATGTTGTATAGAACTGATGCTATTCTTCATTCATGTACTAGATTGGGTTGAAAACATCTACTTAATACACTACACAAGTATTGCCAAGAAGATCAACTACAAATCAACTATGATAAAACTAAAATTCTGGTTTCTGAGAAAAAAGATCAAAAAGTAAAGCTGAAAAATCCCAAACTTTATGATAATACAAGTTGAGAATTTTAGTTAGCTGAGCCATTTTATTTCACCATGCTCTGCCCTGGCAACATCATTGCAAGGCAATACTTCTAAAAGCAAAAGCTACTATGCTGGTCCTGCTTGACTATTTTAATTTAAAAGGACAGAGATTCGTCCGTGTACCAATACAGGTATTTAATGCAAAAACTGCATCTTAAATTTTCTATGGAGCTGCAATTTGGATTACAGTTATTAGTAATAAGAGCCCAACTACAGGTGATTTTAAGATCTTTTTTAAATGTTCCAAATTATATTTGAAACTGTTATTCTCTTGGAAACTGGACAATGCCCTTTGAAAACAAAAACTTTGCTAAATGCTATTAAGTTGCAAATACATGTTTTTAAAACCAAGGAAGGACTGCTACATGAAATCCCAAATAATTATTTTGTAAATTCATGGTTTAAACAGTTGACCAAAGAGATGCTCAGATACTTCTGATTATCTGTATTCCAGGATTAGACCTCATGATTTTATTGTGTTAAGCAAAAATGGAGTTATTTAGTATAGGAATTAATGGAAAAGCCAAAGTTCCATGTTCACCTGTGACTTTTGGAATAAATTACAATTTTCTGCTCTCTATGTATTTTAGTTGTTTACACTGA